ATGGGGTGGTTTGTGGTAGAAACACATGCTCCTTTTAGCATTGGAAGAAGCTTGTCAGGCTTCTTGTATTCTTTAGAAACTGTCAAGTACTGCATAGCTTCTGTCCTACAGGCCTCTCTCAAGGAAGAGCTTTTGATTGGGGGAGGGGCATAAGGTGTGCTACTGGGGTGCTGGTGCTGGTGGTGGGATTCTAGACCAGGCTCTTTAATGGGAGGAACCCAGAAGTGCCCAAGGTCTTTCATCCTACAAGTCTTAATTGTCAACTTGATAGGATTTAGAATGGCTTTAAAATCAGAGGTCATCATGGAAGAGTGGGCGTGGTTAAGGACACAAACCTCTGCATGTGGTGAAAAGACCTACCCTGAATGTGTGGCAGCATGACTCCCACGGGCAATTCTGTCTCTTCTTCTTCTTTGAAATATTTATTTTTATTGTATGTGGTTAAGTATTTTGCTTGCAAGACTGTCTGTGCTCCGCATGTGTGCAGTGACCAAGGAGGTCAAAAGGGCTACTCAATAGCAGGGAATTCATGCCTGGCACTGTAACCTGGCCAACTACTTGTGACAGGAGAGGGGACAGGTCATGTACTCTAGAGGAGAACCTATGACTGCCATTATCCTAAATCAGTATCATTTCTAACTAACTGAATTCTAGATACTATGTCTACTTATGTGCATAGTTCTCATACCTTATCAAAAAAAAGCTGCTTTTTGAAGCAGATAAAGGTCATTACAGAGACTCACAATTTGTCAAAATGCATAGAATAAGTGACCATGACATAATCAGTTCTGCTTGGTACAATACAATACAACCCCTAAACCTTTGACTCAGAGAACATCATGAAAGAGCAGGCAGAAAGAATGAAAAAGCCAGGAAATCAAGATGCTTGATGCTATCGAGTATTTTCTAGACATAACAGGGATGATGCACTCATGAAATCTCAACAATATGGTTACTGAAACAAGACCTGCATAATAACCATACCGGTTGCCATGCCAAGGGGGCTGGGAGGAATTTCACAAAACACCCTCAGATGAAACACTACAGACAGTCGGTGGTTGCTGAGGGAGGGGGAAATCAGTTTTCTCCAGGAGCAAGGAATGTCCTGAAAGGCTACCCTATTCCAAATGGTCAGTCCTAAACACATCTACATGTGAGCAATACTGAATGGACTCAGTAGATGGTCGTGGTGGTGATGATGATGTGTGTATAAAATTATCAATGAAGAGGTCAAGAATTTGAGAGGGAATAAGAGGGATATAGGAGGAGTTGGAGGGGTTTAGGGAGGGGTAGAAATGATGAAAATACCGTACTTATGCAGGAAATTCTCAAAATACTAAAATTTAAAAGGTCTTATTAGCATATGTTAATTATCCATACTAATGGGTTTCATGATGGCATTTTCATGCATGTAGATAATGTATGTCCAATGTGATCAGCTGTCATGTGCTGTCATCACCGCATCTTCCACCAAAAATGAGCCCTATCTCCTCTTAAATTGTGAGCCAAAATACCTCACCACCCTTTTTTAAAGGTTTCTTTTTTGTCAGCTATTTCAACAAAACAATGAAAATACTAACTGCTCTGCACCAGTTTTTCCAGGGATCAATGAGGGAACTGAAAGGATGAGCCCTGACCAGATGGACCTCACCCTTTTCAGCTGTGATGCTCAGATACTGAGCAGCTACTGGGGTGCTAGAATGCTGGGTGTGGTCTCCAAAGATAGAGTCACAAGATAGGGAGACAATGAAGGCATCCTAGGAAACTGAGAACAAGCAGTACAAGGGGCAGCATCTCTTTGGGGACCTCAGAGAAGGAGTAGCCCATTGCCCTGTCCAAAGGGAACCTTCCCAGGAGCCCAGAGGCATCCTAACTCCGTTGAAGGGGCACTCCCTACTGCTGCTGGGAAGTAAGCAGCTTGCCTTGGCTTTATGGGGACAGGAAGTTGTTTTGAGAAGAGGTCTTAGGGGAGTAACTGAGCAGGAGCCAGATTGTTCTGAGTTGGGGTGAGAGGAAAAGGGAGGTGAGAGCAGGCACTCCTTGGAAAGGCGAGCAAAGAGCAATAGACAGTGCTGGACAGGTGTACTTGGGAGGGGCTCCAGAGGAGAGGCTGGAGGCTAGGTGAGAGGGAGCACATGTCTCTAAGAAGGAGTGACCTGGGACAACTGTCACGCAGAAGCAGCAGCCACTGGTTTAGGAGTGCAGTGAGGGCAGGAGCGTCAGGTGACAGAAAGTGACCAGAGAGCTGTTCTGTTTCGTGGCCCACCCCTGCTCAGCCTTGACTTTGTCAGGGTAGGTGACTTGGAAAGTTTGAGCCTCAGGGAATGTAAGATGGAAGCAATTCAGTGGATCAAGCTCCACTTTTCTCTTGGATCACAGTGGACTGGCAGAGTTGGAAGAGGTATGATAGCTGTAACCTATGGTGTTCTTGGGCAGGCTAAGGAGGCATCTTGGGAGAAATTGGAGGGAGTTTTTACAGGACATGTTATCCAGCTTTGGGACCGGCAGATTCTGAGGACTAGCTCATAGTATCACATGACAACCATATGCAATTAGCAATGCACTTGAATCTCATCACAACCAGCAAAGCATCAATGAGCTTCCTGCCACCCAACGTTTGTTTCCCTTGGACCCACTGAGAGAGAGGGAGGGACAAGAGGGCCCATGAGCCCTAGGTGTGGCTTGCCTGATGGACAGCTGGGGCCTGCTTGATGTGTTGATGATGCGGCAGGACAGTAGGGCATGAGACGAAAGAGGCATCAAGATTAATAAATGAAAGAAATCAATGATAGAGGAGGAATGGAACCACCTACGACCAAGGGCCTATGTGTAAGGGACAGCATACATGAGAAAGGGACATGATGTTCAATTGTGGAAGAATGTACATGCCATGTAAATGACTTACAGAGGGCCCTGATGCCTGTGGATCAGGGCTTTTGAGCCCCAGATCCTATCTCAATTCTTTAGCCTACTTCCATTCTCGGGTGCCTTTTTTCTTACTAAAGAAACTGTCTCTATTTCTATGACAATCCATGTATCCCTGGCTCAACACATGTGTGTACATGCAAATCCAAACGGACTCAATAGGTTGTATTTGTATACATACATATGTTATGATACAAATTAGAGAAGAGATTATGAATTTGAGAAGGGGTTGGAAGGGAAATGTGAGGAGTTACAGGGGGGCATAGAGGGGTGAATGTGATATAAACACAGTACTCACAAAAGACATTCTCACAAAACTGTTAAATAAAATAAAACCAAATCAAAAGGTCCTGGTAATCTCAGTGGATACCCCCCAGACTTTGCCCCATGCCTGTAACAATGGAGGGCTTCAGGCAGAGGAGCAGTCCTTATAGGGAGTAATGATTGAATATAGGGCATGTCCCTTACCTGGACCTAAAAGAAATGCTTGGCAGGCAGTATGGAGGCCAGTGTGAGCAGCGGCCAACAAAGCCATGAAGTTTTGGATAAGGGCTATTCCTCTGAATGCCTTCTATTCAGTCACTGACCAAGGAGGCTACTCTACCTCTGGGAACCTTTGTCCTTAGTCACTGCATTGAATGTTGGGTGTGGGCATCTTATGAGAGTATTTTACATTGGGTTCCAGTTGCTGGACAGGTTCTGTGAGTCTTTCCCTAATTAAAGCTGAATATATTCTTATAATTTCTGTCTGACTTCATTTACACCATTACATTGTGTGTGTGTGTGTGTGTGTGTGTGTTCTTCTGCACATGCACGTGTGCTTTGTGCTACTATTGGCTCCCCATCTCCTTTAGGAAGACAAGTTTTCATTCATGAACTCCTGCTACCTGCTGCTAGATCCTGTCCACCTAATGGGAGAGGCAAAGGTCTTATTAGGGTCCGCTTCAGAGGAGGCAACAATCAGGTGAACTTCTTTGGAAGGCACTTGCCATGATGGAGAGGGCCCAAGGTTAAGTCACAAAGGTGTCTGTCTCTGCTGCATCTGACTAAGCGGGAACTGATTACCCTGGGCAGTCTCTGGCTGTAGATGTTGGTTCTTGATTGGGAGAAGAAAAGGGAGTGGGGGGCTGTATCCCACATTGCTGTAGGCAGCAGGCTTTTTTTTTAAAGGGCTGGCTCTGGGACCCTGGGGATGAAGCTCCTCCTCCAGAGGAAGTGAGGCAGATATCATTCAGGCCTTTCCATTAGTGGCCTGGACCTTTCCTTGTACTGTTGCTGAACTCTTCTGACTCCACGTTTCCAAATGAACAGAGTCGGGTGTGGTGCAAGTTAGACCAAACTAGGGGAAAGGACTTCAGACCTTTGTGCACGCTGCAAGTGTGCACAGCTGCTTAGCCATACTACTGCGCTTTTAAGGCTGTCTATGAAGTACAGGTCTACTTCTTGAGCAGTGGGACCAGGCATGTTGCCATCTTAGGGTCAGCTCTTACTAAACTTAGGTGTATGAGTACCCTCTCTGCAAGAAGAACTGGATCCGGCCCTCTGTGGCTTGTCTGCAGTATCTTCCCCACTTCCTGGGGCCACCTCATCTCACGCGGATGAAGCAGGAGCTCATTCTGTATGGAGCCACACTTAGTCTGTGGGGTAGGGCTGCAGCAGGGCTGGCCAAGGAGAAAAAGTACATGTTCCCACAAGGTAGAAGGACGATGGTTGGGAGTCTCTGGATCTCAGAGTGTGTGCCTCTCCACTCCTGCCCCCAGTCTGGAATTTTCAAAGTGGCTGCTTGGTCCCTGTTTTTGCCTCTGTAAGATGAAGGGTTGAGGTCAAACTGAGTTGCTTCTGGGCCCTAATTATAAAACATTCCACAGCACATGCGTGTACATGTGCACATGTCTACACATGCACACGCACACGCACACACACACACACACATACATACATGCACGCTGACTCTGTTGCAACATTTTTGTGATTCATAGGATAGAAGCAGCTTCTGAGGGCACCAAAGTCATAGATGACTAGGGTTTGTGGGGATTAGAGACTCCCTGAAGGAAATGAGAACACAGAGATGCTTTTCTCCTGGCTGTTTATTACAGAACAAAGGGGGAACAACAAAATCACAACAACAACAACAACAACAACAAAAATGCACTGGCCTGAAACAGATGCCAGATTTCAATTGTAGAATCAAAATACAAGGTGGCAATTAAAATGTGATTACACAAGATCTGAACACTGCGAAAAGTTTACAGGACAGTGGCTGTAGAGTTTCTCTAACTGACGCTTAAATATACATGACGAGAATTGCAAATAGAAACCATTAACGACAAACCCCAAATCAACTATTAATGTTTACAGACTTTCCCCCCAAAACTACAGAGGTTTCTATAGAAATGAATGTCAAATGGTTTAAAGCAGATTTTAAAGCATCACTCTGTGATGTCACACTAAAGCTTTCTAAAGCTGGGGCTTTCTCTGCGTCTGAAGGTCACCACAGGTGACAAAGGGAAGGGAACGCTCTAGTTCCTTGAGGTGGCCAGGTCACAAACTCAGCTCAAAGGCTATTTTTGCACCTCTCCCAACCAACCCTAAAGGATGCTCTTGGCCTTCCATGAGTGTCTCTGTGGGCCACTTACTCATACCACGACTTTTGCTGTAAATGCTCATTAGGAAAGAACTAGCTGAGACTTAAAGGCTTGCGAGAGATAGGATAGTCACACGGGGTAGCACAGTTTGTAATGGAGTGGAAATTAATGACCAAGTGGCTTCTATTTGGCATTTGTCAGTTTGCACAACAACACTTCTTGGTCACATCCACATCTCTTGTGGCATGAAAACCTCAGTGACTCAGCCACCTGGTTTAACAAGGTATCACTGGAGCGAACAACACAGTCTGCATGTTTGGAACAATGTATAATAAACACAATTCTATTGCAACCAAAGCCGCCACTTTATTTACAAAGCCACAAAACCAAGTATAAATACTTCTGTCATTTATGATTAGGAAAACCATTTACAAAATTTTCAAATATGTACAAGTAGCTTGAAAAATCACCTGCTTTTTCTTCATCAGGTTGACAGGGGGATGGGCAGGGTTGACAGGATTCAGAGTGGAACTGGGAGCCTACTGTGGGTGTCTAGGGCCAGTTTCACATTGGCTGCAGATTCAGGCAACAACTCTGAGTGAGAGCATGGGGCTTTCTGGGGCACCCTGCTTTGATTTACAGCTCCTCGGCACCCTGGGTGACTTGTTCAGCATTCTGTGCTGTGGCATTTGGGGCAGCAGCACGCTGTTGCAGAATGTCATCTATCAGCCTCAAGTTGCACACCCAGTCTTCATCTGGGGCCACACTGGAGCCTTCTAAAAGTTCTTCCACGAAATTCACCTCACTGCCTGCAGATGATGGTGAGATCAGTCCATTGGTTGGGGACTGGGCCTGAGGCAAGACATTGTCCTGTGGCTCAGGGGATGTGCTAGCTCTCATCAAGGTACCTGGGGACTGGCTGGTGGCAGCAATAGCAGCTACATAGCTTGGCGGCTCTAGTCCCTGAACGGGACTCAAGGGAGAGCAGCTGGCCATGCTCTGCTGGAGGGGCGTGGTGCTCAGTACAGGCACTGGCCCCTGTGCTGGGCTCTGCACAAAGCTCTGATTGCCCAATAAGCTGAATCTGGGGCCAACCAGAGCCGCAGGCACCTTCTGGCCAGGCCTGACTCCTGGGGCTATCTGATTGGCCTGGACCACAGCCCGCTGAGATGGAAATGCTAGAGCTGTTGGGGGTACACTTATGGGTGCCTTGGCAAAGAGGATGGTACTACTATCACAACACTGCAGCATGCAAATATCTACTTGGCTCAGGGGTGATTTCTTTGAAACTGGTGTGGCTACAGCTGCAGCTGCCACTGCCCAGACTGCATTACTAAACACTAGAGACATCATTGGCACACTAGGGAAGCTGAGTTGGTGGGAAGTAAAGGATTGGCTACCCAGGTGGTTGACACAGAACTTGGGCAGGGGCACTTCTGGGGGCATGGCCTTGGCTTTGGGACACACAGAGCCAAGACTATTCAGGGGATCCTGACCCAAGCCTGAGGAAGGAAGGGAGAGGTGGGGGAGGGGCCTGAGAAGAAAGCTCAGCCTCTTAGACAACATAAGACAGGACTTTATCCACCTGACAAATAGGAACCATCTGTTGAGGGATGGATAGTGCCAGGATATTAGAGCAAATGTAAATACCCTGCCTTCACAGAGCCTCCAATATACATGAAGACGCACGTTTTCCATTCCTTGGAGAGCAGTGGTTCTCAACCCGTGTGTCATGACCCCTTTGTGGGTCAAAAGATTGAATATTAGATATCCTGCATATCAGATATTTACATTATAATTCACAACAGTAGCAACATTACAGTTATGAAGTAAAAATGGAAATAATTTCATGGTTGGGGGTCAGCACACATGAGGAACTGGATTAAAGGGTCACAGCACTAAGAAGGCTGGGAAGCACTGACATACAGTGCTCTGAGAATGGGCTGTTCTCAGAAGATCTTAACTTGAGGCTACTGGCAAAGGAATGGGAATGAGGGAAGTTGGGAGGGACTGGGAGAAGGAGAGAGTCAAGGGTGGGGGCAAAGACTCCATTGTGCCTGTAGCTCATGCCCAGTGACTACAGCCCATGTTCAGGACACCTTTGAAACTAAAATCCCTATGCCTTTTTCCATGCAGCAGTACAAGAACAAGTCATCTCCAAGTGTATTCAGACCCATGTGAGACCCCCATCCAACCAGCATATGATGCCACCCAAAACTGAGCTCCTCCAGGACAATCTGATTCCAAGACTATTACCACCCTCTAGCCACATAGGTGTTTGCTCATCAGCTCTGAAGAAACAGCAAGTCAACACCGGCTTCCCATTTCCCATCTCCTCAGGCTTGGGTCAGGATCCCCTGAATAGGTACACTCTTATAGCCCCTCTTGTGAAGGATAGCCCAGGTCTGGTGGCTTTTTTAAAGCACAGATGGAGGGGTCATTAAATGAGTCAAGTTTCTAGAGCAGCAATTGTCACACAAATCTTGTATGGGACACTGACAAGCAAGCTTTGTGAGAGCCCAAAACAGGCTAAGCTAGGAAGCCTAGGGCTGGGGCCAGCAGAAAGTCTTGGTAACTAAGACCCCAGCTTTTCCTCTGTAAGTCTTTCCCAGCTCCACTTAGCCACATTCACCAACAGGCCCTGCCTTTCTGGAAGCTTCATGTTGATACCCAAGAAACTATAAAGTGCCTCTTGTATCTGGGGGATTCTGGGACACTGGTGTCTTGACTTAGGTGCCAAGCAGTAGAGAGGCAAAAGGCCTGGGCTGCCCAACGCTCTCGCTGCCTATTTACAGCACGGATCTCAGCACAGGCTATGCCAGAAGTAAGCCTGTGCTTTAGCCGCTTGAAACAGCATCTTAATGCCTCCTGTGGCCTCCTGTGCCATAGGCTTGGTCTTCTCTCTGTCCTCGAAGAGGGAAAATCAGGTGTTAGCAGCCCAACAGTTATACAAAGGGACTCTCCAACCTGAGGGGGTATGGTCATAGAAGCCAGCAGAAATTGGACATAAGTCCTCTTACAAACGGTCCCTGGTTTGGGGCCTTATTTGAACAAAAATTACCTACTCTGTGCTCCTCTAGAGAAATAGAGTACCGAGGGAGGGATGAAGAGATAGGGAGGAGACAAAGAGTGGAGGAAGAGGACCGGGAAGATAGGGAGCAGGAGGAGAGGGACGGAGAGAGTGGGAGGAAAGGAAGGAGAATGTAACAAATGAGGGGGGAGGGAAAGAATGAGAAGGGGGAAAGAGATGAGGAAAAGGGAGGAGGAAGGGGAAAGGAAGGGAAAGGAAAAAGAGAAGGGTCCATTTTTTTCTACAAGGCACCTAGAACGTGCTCTTCAGCAGTCCCTGCCCTCTGAGTGTACCCCATGGAAGCCAGCCTACTAGGCGACAGAAAGCATCAACTATTTGTCCCAAAGGTTAATGAGCTCTGGCATGGCTTCTTTATTACCCCACAAGGAAAAGCACTTTTTTTCCCATAGAATTGAAAGTAAGTTCCAGATGCTCAGGACTCTGAGGTCCCTCAATCCTATCTGCCTGAGGACTACGTGGGAAGATAAGGCCAATGGGGTAACTCAAGAAGTTCCTTTAGCAGTCAATTGACAAATATTTATGGCTGCTGTGCTCAGGGCCAAGCTGTTCCTATCATGAGAGCATTACTGAATGTCTCTACCCTTGGGGAACTTACACTAGATAGGGGAATTATCAAAACACAAGTCAATCACTGAAGATAGTTTGTCTTCTAAAGGAATTTTCACAGGTGAACGGACACCCAGTGGACAGGCCTGAGCAGAACCCTCAGGTCATACTATAACCAAATGTGCCATACCATTTCTTTATTAGGCAAGATCCGTGGTGGTGCTGGCCTGCTGAGGTCTTTCCTTGTCCCTGTGCATATGGCTACAAACTTCACTTACAGTATTGGACCTACCCTTAAAGAGTTCCAAAGCCACCACTGGGGACACCACAAAATACATGGCATCAAAAGTGAATGACCAACTTTGAGCTGGTCATTTCTACCTTAGGACTGTCTTTGCCTGTATAAGCACCCCCGACACCTAGTCTTGGTGGCTTCAGGGCTGGCTGATACTGCAGTGTTTGCTTTACATGCTAGGGATGATCCTCAGGCAGAGGAGACCTGTGTGTCTTCTGTCTCTGCAGTCCCCGAAACCTCTGGTTCCCTCTGCCCCACTGGCTGCAGTGACCAGGGACTGAGAGGGAATGCAGAGCTGTCTCTCCAAGTGGAGAGCCCACTGTGCATTCACTCCACAGGCAAGGCACTGGTCTCGGCACAGGATTAGTGACGCCAGGAGTAGGAATTTCAGTCAAGCTAGCAGCAATCTCCTCACAAGGCATCTGGGACCAAGAAAGAGCTGAGCAGGACTGGGTGAAAGCACGATATTCAGAGGAGACGGAGCCTCCTGGGGTTTTGATAATTCGGTTTCCCTGGGAGCTTGGGGTTGGACAGGACTCCTCTGGTTGCAGCCAAAGAGGAGGCAGTTAAGGAGTGCTGCGACTCTGGGGGAGAGAGAAATCAATAGCCCTTGACTGGAAAGCACGGCTTGTTCTTTCAGGCCAGGGCACACAGGATAAAGAGAACAAAGCTGTGTGCGCTAAAGCAGAGTTTCCATTAAAGGCCAGACTCTCGGGAGGTCCTCTCAGCTCAGTGACCATCTTCTGCAGGTTTCTGTACAGATAGGGCAGACATCCTGTGGCCATTGATATTTCGGGTCTCAGAACAATCGCTCTATGGTTCAAATAAAATCTGCCAAGGCTGGTATTCATCACCTTGCTCTTGTGAGCACTAATGGGACTCGGAGGCATGCCGAGTCATTCCTTCTAGACTAAGAATTGAGAGAGAGGCTGAGCTAAATTCATAGAATAGATAGCTTTGGCAGGCTTGGTATAGAACACTGAAACAAGTCCCCTAGACTGCCTGCCCTTTAGTAGGGTGGTCCAGCTGCCCACTGCTGGAGCAGGAATCCTGAGGGAGGCCAAAGACTGGTATGGGATGTGGAGCCCACAGCAGGTCACTCTCAGGAGATGGAGTTCCTAAAGTCTCACTAGGTAGCAGACAGGCAGGCACTAGGTGGGAGATTTGAAGGTGCACCCTCCCAGCCTGGACAGAGGGGCAGGCAGGCAGGCAGGCAAAGAAACAAATGGGGTGCTAGAAGGTGGATGCCAATGGGAGAGACTTCCCTAAGCAATCTGCAACTGTTTCTAGAGGTAAGGTCAAGGTCAAAGGGCTTGGACAACTCTGCTTGCTTGAGTTCTTCACTTTACCAAAGAATTCTAAAGAAGAAATGTAGAAGGTACTGGAAATCCCTCATAGTAGTACACAACCCTAAGGGCTGCAAAGGGCCTACTTTTCAGAACTGTCACCTCCTGAGTTCCTCCCAAATCCCCATGAGGCAGGCTGGCAGGCTGAGCAGGGGAATGTGCCCCAGCTGACAGATGAGGAAAGCTAGGCACAGCGGGGGTGTGAGACTTACCTGCAGCATCGCAGCTGGGCAGCAGTGGAGCAGGAACCTGCCTCCAGGCCTTCGGATCCCAGCTGCCCCAGGGGGCTGCCTCTGAGGTGCCGAACGAGGAGGTGACTAGGGCCAGCTCATGAGCAAAGGAGCTGCCGGGCAGGAAGGACTCACTCCCCAGGGCCTGGCGGGATGGGGGCTGTCGCCCCAGGCTGACCTGGGGAGGCCTGGCTTCCCCAAGCTTGCAGGCTTTGTCTACATGAGTCTACAACAACCGATTGAACAATCATCAGCTGTTTGGCCACAAAAGGCTTCTGACTGATTTTGTCACTGACCTGACCAACTAATTTAGTTCTTTGAGTATTGTGGTTATACATATCAACTGATCTGGGGAAACAAAACCAAATATCTTTGTACTCTTAGCTGGCTGTGGATCAGTTGGAAGGTATAGTCTCTTTCCACTGAAAATGTGTTTGCTGTGTGACACCTTCTCCTTCCTAGAGCACCAATGATTTTTTTATGTGTTTTGGTTGGTTTGGGGGAATACTTAATGCTAATAAAAGGATTTCATATGAGTCATGTCCTTCCTTCAGCAATCACTGTCTCATTGGAAGCAGGAATAAAGCTAAGTCAGTTAGTTGGCTCATTGACAATGACTTTGTCATATTTGGATCCCTCCTGCCCCTACCCTGCCCTCACAAGAGAACATACAACTCAACCATGGTCTGCAGGTGCTAGTGTGTAGACATGCAAAGGGGAGTACAAAACCAGTCAAGTATATCCCTCCCATCAGCTGTGCCCTGAGCTGCAGCCCCCACTGCACCAGACCCTGACCAGGTAGGCCATAAGGTTTTGGGGACATGAGCTCCCTTGCCATCTGGTTTTACAAGATACAGATTTCACCAGTTCTGAGTGTGTGAAATGCGTGACCCAGTTCCTTCAGATAAGAAATTAAAATAACTTATCCTGATGCACACATTAGCAAAGACAAAACTCAAATAAGTGGCCAGCAAAGCTTTGACACTCTGACAAACACACAAGTGCCTAGCAGCAGTCATGCCTCAAAGGATAGAGGAAGCCTGTATGATGGGGAGATGTTCTTTTTGTCCTGTATCAGGTGGCATCTCTTGTTTTTCATTCGGCTCTAAGTGGTCTATGGTGTCCACCCAGCAGCCCAGGGGAAAGGGGACTGGTCACTCCCTGAGTCCAAGACAAACATTCGACTCACAACAAGAATTACTTAGTGGTCACCTATGCATATATTATTTGAAATAACAATAAACACTACACCAGTAAATTTATTGATCATTTCCGTGCTCCCTGAACTAACTCAATCTAGGGCTTTAAACATTGTCTTACTCTGTCCTGACAAATGGCTGCCTAGGAGGTAGGGGCTGTTACAGTCTTTACTTTTTAGATGCGGATATGGAGACCCAGAGAGTTTAAGTTGCCCAAAGTCACACAGATTTTGAGTACTAAAGCAAAAGGTGGACATGAGTTTGCTTCATTCCCAAGTCCACAAGTAGCATGTACTGAATTACTACATTGTGATATGGAAAATAAGCCTTGGAATGGAAAAGTGTTATAGTCAAAGTATAGACGAGGTGTTCCAGGGAGGTTCCAGTCATTTAGGAATGAATTATATATATTTAAATATGGCAATAAGAAAATGATTACACGGAATATTTTAGAAGTAACACATGTCTATCTAAAATAAACAGGCCAACAACCCCCTTCCCAAGTTCAACCATTTCTTTGCTATTCTGATAACATTTGTCCCAGTTAGCAAGCTCAGTGCCACTCTACTTGGGTGACTCATCAAGCTCCCATTTGTCCTTGGAGAGAGGTCATCAGGGTGAGACAGGAAAACTGTGATTTTCTAGAATTCGCAATTCTTCAGCCCTACATGCTTAGCTCTTGGTAACTCTGAACACTATTCTATAGCAGCTTTCTAGAAACAGTTCTCATGGGTCCCAGACTGTCCTCAAACTCACCGAACCCACTAATATACCCGAGGATGACCTTGGATTTCTGATCTTCCTGCCTCCACCTCCATAATGCTGGGAACGTAGGTGGGAGGGTGCAAACCCGCCTTTAAACACTGGAGCTGGAATAGTCCTGGTACACACATTTCTCAGGTTCTGAAGACTTCTCCCACTCCACAATGAGATTGTAAAAGTCAGAAATTAGCTTTATTCATAGAGAATAAAAGTTGTTTTTTTTTTTTAAGTTTCTCAGGAAGCCTCTGTAACTTCACATCTTGAAAAGGCTTTGTGATGAAATTTCTCAAGGACTGGACTTCCACTTACCCGTAGAAATTAGGACACTGGGGTTACAGGGGAGGCTTTGAAGGGAAGAACACATTTGGTACAAAGTAGAAACAAGGAACAATAGATCAGGAATGTTTGCCTGAGGTAGGATATGGGAGAGCAAGGTAGAGGAGGGAGTGTGAGGAGGGGTAACTAAGATGAAAGATGTTTGAATAAACCATATGGATGCCTATTATTGTAGATTACACCTATACAAGTATAAAGGGAATTTAAATGGAGTTACCCTATAATGTGTGTGTGTGTGTGGATGACTCCTATAGATACTATAGGTTATCAAATAAAAAGCCCAGGGCCAGGCATGGATTACTTCTTTTTGAGTTGTAGGCCATTGGGCTCCTATGGAATTCCAGCTATTACAGACAATCCCCATTACTCTTGATTAATCTTCAGAATTTGCTACTAAGCCCCCGTTGTTGAAGATGCCATACACCTGAGTTACAGAACCTGGGAAAATCAAGCTGCTGCTGGTGTGGAAGCTTCAGCCCTGTGGACTAGTGTTCCTAAACTGGGTGGTGCTGTGCATGCTACTAGAGGAGAAAGGAATCATTAACCTCACTCGGCTGTGAACACCATGAGCTCCAATAGCAAGTGGCCTGGCAAGGTATACTAACTGGTATAATAGTTGCACCGATGTTATGGTGTGGAACAACGACTTTCTGATGGGGTTTAAGGCCTTCTCTACAAGGTGAAACTATCCTGGTAGTGCTAATAATTGGTCCAAAGTCCATGGCTGGCTAGTTCGTAGATGCTGGGGAAGAATCTACCACTATTAGTGTGCTAGAGGAGCATAGTATTAAATGAGTTATTTTTATTCCATAGATGAGGGCATTTCTTAACCCTCATCAGAGAAGCTGCTTTTTGCAATAGATGGTGATTAACATGGAGACCAACAAGTGGTTAACATGGAGAGAATAAGAGACTGTGAGTGCTTAGACTTAAATGGGGACACCTATGTCACACTTCTTCCCCCAAAGCTGAGTGGAAGATTATAAGAGCAAAGGTAGTGGATGATTACAGTGATAGAGAGTTTTCCAGACAACAGGGCAGTCATACACACGAGCTCACCATAAGTATTACAATGCACATGCAGCCAACACCAAGTGGATTTTGTGGGTTTAAAAAAAGAGTACGTGATATTGAAAGTGAACAGGGTTGGGGTGGGCAAGGGAGGAATTAGAGGGCAGGACATGGGAGTAGATGTGATCAAATTATATTGTATGTATGAAATTCTCAGACAATAACAAGGAAAAACATAAAGAAATGAACTTCCATAAACATCAGCATATGCTTGCAGTGCCTTAGTAGTCCATCAGGCAGAAAAGCCTGCAGATGGCACATGGAACCAACCACAGCAGATGGCTCAATGGTGTGGGCAGCCCTATTTCAGTAGCGCAATCATAATGCCCTGGAACTACTCATTCAGGTGCAGCAAGATAGGAGAAGGCACTTTGAAGATCGCCACAAGTCCCAGCTGAAGCACAAAGTGAGCAAAGGAAGGGATGCTATAAGTAGATCTCACATAAAACAATAGATTGCTCTTATGACTAGAAATCTCTGGGAGTTACAATGTCCCCCCAAATCTTTTTTCTTTGTATCACAGTTTTATGCTATGTGGTGCAGTTTCTGTTCCCCATTAAATAAAAGGCAAAAAAAAAACATGCACCTTAGCTACACAGAAGTCTTCCAGAGTCAAAATTGAACACCATCTCTTTCTCTCCTGATTGCAACTAGCTCAAAAACCTGTGGTGAGCAGGTAGCCAAGCTGGAGGCTGAGCCAGACTGACTTAAAAAAAAAAACACAACAAAAACCAACAAAACCCTAGGCTTCTAATCATTGTGTGCCAAGATGAAGTAATCTCCTCCCAACTTCACATCCCTCTGTCCCCTCCTGGACAGAGTAAGCACTGCTCCTAGGCCCTGGGGTTCAGAAGGAGCCATCCAATTGACAGGCAAGTTCAGACAGCTTAGGAAGGGAGTGGCAGGATTTCCTTTGGGGACTTCCGGATTTAAACAGCAGATCTAATGCATGCATCTAAATTCATTTCCTCCAAAAGATCCACGAAACTACAGCAAGCCTCTGTGTTTTATTTTGCTTTTAAAAACAAATTCCCACCAGGAAAGGGAGGCTAGGAGAGGAGATAATAGCACCATAATTTGTGAAGCTAAAATGCAGAGCTGACAGGTACCACTATAGCTACTATAGAAGAGAAAGAGAGGGGAGAGGCCTGCTTAGACTCAGTGCCCCAGGGCAATTTGGGAAGCATAGCCAGGCCACATTTGAAAACAACAGTAGCAGCAGCAGCACCCCCAACAAACCCGTTACACCCAAACCACCCAGACAGAGTAGAGCAGGCTGACTACTCAGCCTCAAAGAAGGTGAATCACAAATCAGCAGAGGGGAACATGATAAAGCCACTTGCTCTATGTGGCGAAATCTCCACCATGTTCCAGAACAGGAGCCTCAGATAGTCTGGTACTGGGAGGTGAGAGGAATGGGGTGGTGGCCAACCGAAATTGTTGGCTAAGAGGTGTTGAAGAAATAAGCAGGTCTCTGCATCTATGGGTATATATGTGCCTCTCCCAACCCTGGTAGAGATAGGACTTGATCCTTTGCTGGCCCCATCTCTTCTGCAAGCCTAATATCTTGTCCACAGTTCTGCCCCATATCCCAGTACGGAGGCAGGAACTCTTATCTCTCTTTAGGTTCACTTTGCTTTAGCGCTTACTTTCCACTAAAGGGCAGCTGGGGACAAAAGGGCACTGGGAAAGCTCAGCTTTCTTTCCTCTGGAGGCCTTCAACTAGTAGTGGCTGTGACTTCTTTTAGCAGAGCGTAGTGTGGCATATGTTTGATTTAGAAAAGAATGAGAAGGATTCTCATCTGGGTAATGAGGGTCCCTACATGGTAGGTGGACTGTGATCATGAGGGACAAACTA